CCGATGCCTCAATGCGATACAGTGCCTTAGACCGCTGCGCCACTCGGGAGGCCATTTTTAGATTTTTTAAGTAAATACTCATTTTGACATATTTATGTGGTAGAAATGACTCCCATTTAAAGGGGCGGTACACCAAAATGTGAAATATACTTAATTGTATTGACAGAAAGTGATTCATCCATTGATCTTGAGAGGCAATGACCAAAAAAAAAGCTTAGTTTTCTTTATTACTCACCCCACAGCCAGCATCGCTGCTAGTGAAACAATGGGAGTGGTAGGGCCTAAGGCAGGATGCTTCAAAAAACATGCCCTAAATCCTCAAAGTCACTTCAAACCAAATGTTACAGCAACTCAAATACCATAACAAGTTGCACATATAGAATATTGGAGGATATTATAGGAATCCTGTTGAATAAGTATTTTTCTGAGAATACATACCAATATAGCACTATGTGTACATTTAGAGGGTAGGTTGTTTCTTTATTACAATTCTACCAAGTGTTCATACCACTGACATACTTTTATGAGCTGTTTTGACTGCAACCAAGCATATACAGTATGTAAGGTAATTTTGATACCTTGTTATAACCAGTACATAAGGTGCTCCATCTCTGCAGGTGATCTGTCTATCTGGTCAAAATCACTAATACAGGTCCCCCTCCACCCTCTGATAACTTAATATTATGTCTCCAGAGAAACCTGGATTCAAATAAATACTTTTTTAGATTTGCCCTAGATTTACTTTTTGGGGAATACACACCAACACAGCTCTCTGTGCGTATCTGAGTTCTGATACAGGTCCCCCTCCACCCTCTGTGGCATGGATAACATGTTATTATGTCTCCAGAGAAACCTAGATTCAAATAAATGTCCTATTTATCAAATTACTATAGCTGGAATTAGGTTGTTTTTGGCTGGGGTCAAAATTACCTCAAAGGACTTGTATTTTTTAAAAGTCCATATTGATACAGAAACACTAAACAATGATTTAGATTTATTAAGAACAAGTTGATTGACAAAGTCATGACAAATTTGAATAATTGAATGAACCACCTTTGGGCTATAATCAGAAATATGTCTCTAGGATTCAAAATGACCCCAGTCAGTAGTATGAGGGGTTATTCAAAATATGTTGGATAGCCATGTCTGATTGATTTTCCCATCAATCCGTTACAACGTTTACAAAGCTTACATCTGGTATTATCTGAGCACATAAAGGGAAACAGATGTTAAACACAGATATACCACATACTAAACTTATAGCTTTTTATTTTTACCTCAATAACAGGTCAATATTGGTGCCAACTACTATTAACTACCGTAGATTTTGAGCCTATACAATAAATATACTGTGACAGACTGATCAGGAGAAGGAAATGGAGGTGAATTGGACACTCAAAAACACGATTAACGTAACAAGACAGGCAAAGGACTACAACTCACAATGAAATAGAAAGAAGGGAAGGCCAAAAACCAACTGGAGTAAAGCCCTTGCCCAGAGAAGAGTGAGGTGGAGAGCTATGGTGAACGCCATATACTCCAAAAGAAACCAAAGGGACTAAGTCAAGTTAGTCAGTGACAGACTTCTGAGTGTTGTCGTGACGTTACTTACTTTAATGTATGACTGTTATTTATCGAACCACCTAACTATGTTTAATTGTCACTCGATTAAATGAATCATGTAACAATGAACTAATTTGGAATTTGGGGCACCACAGAAGAAGTTGTTTAACGAGTTACTATCTCCCGAATTAAACTCTTAGAAGATATATATGTCATATATCGATAACAGTCACTTATCAAATAATTACCACTTATAAGTCTCATTTTGAACGTCGCATAATCCTTGAACCTGCAAGAACCCTAACCTTATTGATGAATCAGCAATACACAAATTGGCTTAATTATTTATTTACTAACTAACTAAATAATAGCACAATACAAACACACACACACACACACACACACACACAGGTTATTGATTACTAACATAATACAATGAAAACGGGTCCCTAGTGGACTGGACTAACATTAGCACGACTGCTTGCGTAGAAGGAGGGTCAGAGTGGAAGGGAGAGAGAGATTCAAACTATCATGGTTACTTTGGAAACTACGCTCATTCGGATTAGAAATGAAACATGTATTTACGTGTAGCTGTCCTCGATAGTTGAGTTGATGATATAGGACTCTGGTTTGCCCACCAGAGATCCCAATGTCCTTGGTAGAGTTTCTGGTCGTAGTCGTGGTTAGAATGGATACTTCAGATGTACCAGCGGTTGTCTGAGAGGGATTGTCCTTCCCTCTCGTGTCTTTAGTGAAAGTTCTCTAGACGACTATACATGCCAGCTGCAGACTGAAATGATAAGGTCGAGTGCATTGTCTTCTTCTTCACCTTGTGTAGAGGTTGAGCGTTTCAGAGTTTCTCAATTTCAAACGTGTGGACTAACGTCTCACGTTTTCTGGTCCAAACATTTTGTAACGTGTAGCTTCTGCTTCACGCTTGTTGGTCTTTTAGAAATTCAACCATCTGGCTTATATCATTGTATGCTTGGTCTTCCTTTGGTAATGGAGATGTAGTTTTAAACCATTTTGTAACGTTTAGCTCACACTTCACGTCTGCTGGTCTTGTAGAGTGTCAACCATTTTAAGCCGTGGGCTTCCTGGTCTGGTAGAAATTCAACCATTTGCAACGTTTAGCTCACACTTCACGTCTGCTGGTCTGAGGTGAATTTCGTGACAAGGCTTTTTATGCACTTGGGGTAAAAGGGGTGTTCCATCATGTTTGTGCTCATCTGGGCGTGGCCACTGACTGAGAACAAATCAATACGGAAAACAATCATCTCATCTAGAATGCTAAAATCACATTGTTATCTTCACAAAAGTATTATTATACTTAATCATTTGTTTTATACAACAATTAGATGCAAACCACATAACTGGGAAGTGTACCCCCCAGAGATACAGTTATGATGTTCCACCGTATTTAATGACGTCACAACATAGTAAAGAATTTGACATGATTGTTCTTTAAGTCCCCACCAACCATTTACCACATTCTTTTAAGTAGGAATATTGTTTCATTATCCACATTTGGATGTTGGAGTCTTGGCAGGAAGACTTCCTTTGTTAACAAAGGGGTCCTTTCACCCAATACTTCATGGCAATGAAGAGAAAGTCTGCACGGTATTTACGACCGGTCATAAAACTGGCCCCCAGGAAAAGGTGTGCTCAAACCTTTGCCTAGCTGGCATGTTTGATCCTCAACCCATGAGGGCAAGTCATGACAGTGTAATAATGAGTGCACTTTAACATGTCTCTTTCTTGAGATAAGAGCATCTGCTGAGGTCCGAAGAGATCCACACTCCACACACAAGCACAGGCATATACACTTCCAGCATGATGTCATAACCCAGACACATCCACTGAACTTAGGGGGGAATTGCTTCTGCTCCCTCTGTGCCCTATCCACACGCCCTTTCACTTCTAATAGTAATATCAATCCAGCATCAGGGCACACTCTCAGCAACCTTATGATCCCTGTTTGGAGAGGAGGAAAAAGGAAAGAGAGTCTCCCTCTTTCTCTCGCTTTCTTGCTCTGTATTTTTTCTATTTCATTCTCCTTTCTCTCTGTCTCTCTCTCGCTCTCCTCCTTTACTCTCTCTCTCTGGTGTGTAACCTCCCACAGTCTGCCTTCACAAACCCAGCCCTGTGTGAGAGCACAGGGGAGAGGGAAGTTTTTTCTGCAGCAGGCTTTTATAACCCACCGCCTGCCCCTTCTGCCCCGAATCATCCATCCACAGGCCCTTCACCCCAGCCCTTCACCCAGCCCTGCACACAAACACAGCCTATCTCTCTTAATCAGACACTCAGTGTGTGTATCCCCATGCTGTTCCAGGTCCGGAGCCTGTGGGCACAGGGGTGGAATTGAAACCACACCTCAGCATCAGGCCAGTTTATAAAAGACAGGTAAGAGAGATAGAGATGGAAGGAAGGCCAAGACCTGATAAAAACATGGAAAATAAGGAGAAATAATAGTAGAGCTTGCTTATATCATTGAGGTATTAGTACTCTTGTTCCATTTCTATGACCTGTACGTGATGAGGGAGAGGGTACAGAGAGAAAGAGAGAGTATCTAGGATTTGAGGGTCTAAAAGCATCTCTTAGAAGATCCTGAGATAGAGCTGCTGATATGGAAGAATCCCTAGGAGATTATCTTCTTCAGTAGGGATTGGAGAAGAGAAGGAAACAAGGATAATATGGATCGACTAACTTCATTCGAGAGGCAAGTAGTCGTGGCACTACTATAATGTCTATATAGTAAATTTGGCAGGTGCTTAGGGAACACTATCATCCTCTAAAAAATAAAAGGTGCTCGTCTCTTTCTTCCGTCACTTATTCCTCCCCTACGTGAATATTTAACAGAGAGAAGGGGCACCTTTTTCTCTTTTTGACTCTCCATATAAATCTACATTGATTCTGGCATCTTTTTGCTGTGTTTTATTCCCTCTCTAATTTAGAGTGGCTGATAAGTGCTCGTAAAAGTTTTTATGAACCACCTCCCTGGAGAGAGGGCTAGTTGGCCGAGGAACATGATAACAGGAGCTTGATGAACGAAAACAAATGGTCACCGATGTCAGCTGAGTTCAAGGGCATTTTTGATACGCGTGACCTCCACTTCAAAGCACCTGGCAATCCATTGAAAAAACGTGTGAAAAGCCAAAAGAGAATTCCCCATTCACCACCGCTCGCCTGTTTCACAACACTCCGCTTATGCATGGGCTCGACCTGAAAGGAGGTGGCCATTTGCAAAAGCTTTTACAACAAGATGGAAATGAGAAAGCCTCAAGAGTATGAGCAGTAGACTTAATAAATGTAGAGTCAATTTATAGTCTTTCTGATACTGGAAAGTTATTTATGGGTTGTTGTTTAAATGCTGCTTGGCTGAGTTGCAGATGCAGGTCTCTAGTTGGGAGTTGGAACACATCTTGTGGCTAACAGCGCTAGCCTGAGCTGAATACCAAGTCCCTGTGGTGCAGCTGGTGGAACTGCTGTAGGAAACACAGACAGCCCCAGAGTCCTAACACGCTCACATCACCAGTCTAAACTGTGGTCCGACATGTCATGCGCCTTTCCAGGAACTAACGCTAAAGATAAGCAGTAAAGCAAAATGTGGTACTTTTGATGTGCTGAAATGACATGATAATTATGCCCCTTAACAAAAACAAGTAAAAGACAGAATAAAAACAAACTCTTTCTCCATCCACCCCAAAACACTATGACTCAAAATAACTAATTAGTAAATAAAGAAAGAAAGAAACAGACACTTTCACATAGCAAGAGACAATAATTTGGGCCTGACACGAAAGGAACCATACGTGACCCAACAATTTGTCACAGGATCTTTGAAAGGCTTGAAGGTGATTATCTTCAGATACAGTCAGAACTGAAACAGCCCAATAAGGAAGTGTTTAAGAGGAAGCAACACGAGATGAGCACATTTAATTTTGACTCACTTTAACTGCCTCTGGTGACAGGCCAAAGCACCGACATCATTACTTAGTGAGAGTCTGGTTTGTCTCAGACTGTCTGTCTGCCACGGGACAGTGGGGTAAGGCACTCTGGTTTTTACAGCGAGTGCTCATTCTGATGGATGCTCTTCCCGTTGTGTGCCGAGTACAGGGGAGTCAAATTTGTTTGACACCCACTGTCATACGAAAAACATCTCCCCCAGCTTCTCCTGCCCTCCACTTCGGGTGAACTGTAGTTAATTAGAGGCTGCATGGCCGACGTGAGCCTTTTTACAAGTCAAGGGGAGGGCTGCATTTGGAGGCCATTTTCTCAAAGTGCCACCTGCTTTGTTTCATTTCTCCACCATCTTTCTGTGTCACCGTACAGGTTCAGCTCTTTGCTTTGTGCAACGTTGAAAGCACCTGAATACTGCTCCGTAAACATATAGTTTCTCTCTGTACCTCACCATGTTCAAAATTCTACATGTTGGGCAAAAGCACACTTTCAAAAATATGTATTTGCTCCCCTCTGGTTGGTACTACAGGAAATGGAGAGGGTGTGTTGTCTCCTAATTGTCAAGCCTTAACATCATATCCTGGGGGGAGCAAATTCTGCCACAAATATGACCAGTCAGTCAATATGGCTGCCCTTCTAGCAACTGATGTTTAGGACAAGCAGCCTGGACTCAAGAAAGAAGCCTGGGGGACTTGAGAGGCCAGGGAGGGGGTTGTTTCAAGCGCAATTGGCAGTGTCAGGAGAGTTGGTGACTGCAGTTGGCACCCGCCCTGGCTGAGGAATCAGCAGACAGCTCGTCTGTACTAGGAGGAAGAGCCTTCCCCAACCCCCTTTTCTCTCACTATCTCTCTCTCTCCCTTCCTATTTCTCTATCCAGACTTAAACTCTCCTCCCCAAGGCAAATTTAGTTTGTCTTTTATGTCGGGGGGCTTGGGTGGCATCGCAGAGCTTTGGAAAAGCCTGCTCGGGCTCATTTGATGTGCATGCTTTCTAATTGGCACAATGAAAGTATGAAAGAGTGGCATCTTAGGGATGCCACCCGTGACAGGAGACTTCATGAGCAAACTAGGGATCCAAGCTGTGCTGCCATCATGCACAACTCAAATCACATGGGTATTTCATGCTGTAGTAGTCGGTAAGGGAATACACACAGTACCGTCAGTATGTACACTATGTAGTCTATTGAAAGATGGAGAATATAAGTGAGTAGCAGCAGTCAACATGTTTACACTGAGCATTTACATTTGTGACAATGGCTAAATGGAAAAACCATTAGATTAAATAATAATGATGGGCTGGCGTACTTTAAAGCCACGGAGTGACAGTTAAGCCACACTTGATTTTACATTTATGTTATCTAACTTGAATGTAATAGGGGAAAATATAAGTGAAAATAGTTATACTCGTCCCTCTGAGGTTTCGACAGAGAAACAGATTAAGGAACGAGAGAGGTGAAATAAATGACTTATCCTTGATGGCAGGTCTAAACTACCAAGCTAAATCCATATTTTATGCATGACTTTATTTTAAAAAATTCTAACTTTTCCTAAAACTCAGATTGAATTGACTGAGATCCAATCAAAGCATGAAGTCGATGTGACCAGCGCTCAGGCACGCTGAACCACATTATTGAACACCCTCTAGTTTTAAGCGATTTCTAAAATCTATTTCATAGTATAACCTTTTACGATTAAAAGGATCGGACCCTTTTTTCAATTTTCTCCTAAAATGACATACCCAAATCTAACTGCCTGTAACTCAGGACCTGAAGCAATGATATGCATATTCTTGATACCATTTGAAAGGAAACACTTTGAAGTTTGTGGAAATGTGAAATTAATGTAGAAGTATATAACACATTACATCTGGAAAAAGATAATACAAAAAATTCTATTTATTTTTGAAATGCAAGAGAAAGGCCACAATATAATATTGCAGTTTCGGCGCAATTTAGATTTTGGCCACTAGGTGGTAGCAGTGTGTGTGCAAAGTTTCAGATTGATCCAGTGAAGCATTGCAATACTGGACTATTTTGTATAAAGTCTGTCCAAATGTGCCGAATTGGTCAATTGATACATTTTCAAGTACATAACTATAGAGAACCTACAAAACTCCCAGGAATTTCATACATGATGGATCATTAGCTTATACACTAACTTTCATACATCTAGATGGCCGGGCAGAGTGGGTGTGGAGCCAGAGACAACAGGGGTTCAAACTGTAGAACCCAGTTCCTACATTTGAATATAAAAATTGATTTTATCAAACAAAACTATGCTACATTTGATCTCTGGGACCCTTAGGATGACAAATCAGAGCAAGATTACTGAATTAAAAAGTATATTATTTACCTTCAGAGGTGAATGTATCAAACCAGTTGCCGTGATAAGTTTTTTGTTGTTGTGCATTCTCCTCAAACAATAGCATGGTATTTTTTTACTGTAAGAGCTACTGTAAATTGGACAGTGCAGTTAGATTAAGAAGAATTTAAGCTTTCTGCCCATATAAGACATGTCTATGTCCTGGAAAGTTTGCTGTTACTTACAACAGTCATGCTAATCACATTAGCGCACGTTAGCTGAACCGTCCCGTATACGGGACACCGATCACATAGAGGTTAAGAAGAGCTAGAGAGCCATACATTTGCATGCTGTTTACGATTTGGCAAAACAAAAAGAACAGGCACATGCTATTGGACATCCCTTTTGCAATTTTACTGTACATTCACTTGGCTGATAGGTATGTACTAGATCATAAATAAACTTAGTTGTATTTCAAACCAGAAATAAGGGGAGCATGCACCCCGTAGTAAATTACACCTTCAAAAACAGAACTTGATATGATTCAAGATAGCGTGGGAAAAATGCGGTCTTTCATTATTCACTAAAAGGACATTCCCATCTGTATTAGGGTTGACACAATACCATTATCATGATACTACAATACTCAATGTGTTATAGCAAAGAGGAAAACACAAAGCAGACTAAACTCTTCAGTATTTTAAAAACCTGCTTTATGTAAAATAAATTGTGTGTTATAGCTTAGAAAATGACTCCAAATGACAGTAAGGCTGTTTGTTTGGTTCCAAAATGAAATTAAGTTTGCTTCATGTTTTGTTTGCTGGTCTTGATACTTCTGAGTATGGTGATACTGGTAGCGTGACAACCGTAATCTGTATCTAGACAACATAAGCGATGGAAATTGAACAGTGATGGATCTTAAAAGGAGGTATGACAGCTCACCCCATTGGCTTTGCTCAGGGCTTGGAAGTAAATGCTGTAGCTCTTGGACGAAGAGAGAGGGGGGTTCCAGTAGCCGTTGTAGGTCTTGTTGTCGCCTATGGTGAAGGGCTGCACAACAGTCAGGTAGGTGGGCGGGAGCTCCGCCGCAAAGTAGTGGGGCGAATCCAAAATGGAGGCATTTTTGAAGCTGACGGGGACGGGGAAGCACTCCTGCGCGTCGGCTGCCCTCCGCACCTTCTGCTTGCGTTCCTCTTTCACCACCAGCTGGTAGACACTGGGGAGAGAGCAGAGGGCAAAGGTCAAGGGTCATAATCAGGGGTCTGACCAGTGCCTTCAGAAAGTATTCACGCCCCTTGACTTTTTCCACATTTTGTTGTGAATTTATTTGTCATTTTCTGTCAACGATCTACACAAAATACTCTGTAACGTGAAAGTGGAAGAAAACTTCTAACATTTGTAAAAAAGAAAAAAAGACACTAATATATCTTGATTACATAAGTATTCAACCCCCTGAGTCAATACATTTAGCAGTGATTACAGCTGTGAGTCTTTTTGGGGAAGTCTAGAAGAGCTTTGCACACCTGAATTGTACAATATTTTACATTATTCTTTGTAACACATTTCAAGCTGTGTCAAGTTGTTGTAGACAGCCATTTCAAGTCTTGCCATAGATTTTCAAGCCAATTTAAGTCAAAACTGTAACAAGGCCACTCAGGAACATTCAATGTCGTCTTGGTAAGCAACTCCAGTATATATTTCACCTTGTGTTTGTGGGTTATTGTCCTGCTGAAAGGTGAATTTGTCTCCCAGTGTCTGTTGGAAAGCAGACTGAACCAGGTTTTCCTCTGGGATTTTGCCTATGCTTAGCTTTATTCCGTTTCTTTTTATCCAAAAAAAACTCCCTAGTCCTTGCCGATGACAAGCATACCCATATGATGCAGCCACCACCGTGCTTGAAAATATGAAGCGTGACACTCAGTGATGTGTGGTGTTCGAGTTGCCTTAAACAGCACTTTGTTTTCAGGACATAAAGTTAATTTCTTTGCCACATTTTTTTCTGTTTTACTTTAGCGTCTTACAGGATGCATTTTTTGGAATATTTGTATTCTGTACAGGTTTCATTCTTTTCACTCTGTCATTTAGGTCAGTATTGTGGAGTAAACACAATGTTGTTGATCCATCCTCAGTTTTCTCCTGTCACAGCCATTAAACTCTGAAACTGTTTTAAAGTCACCAATGGCCTCATGAGCGGTTTCCTTCCTCTCCGGCAACTGAGTTAGGAAGGACGCTTGTAGCTTTGTAGTGACTGGGTGTATTGATACACCATCCAAAGTGTAATTAATAACTTCACCATGCTCAAAGGGATAATCATTGTCTGCTTTTAACATTTTCACCCATCTACCAATAGGTGCCCTTCTTTGCGAGGCATTGGAAAACCTCCCTGGTTTTTGTCGTTGAATCTGTGTTTGAAATTCTCTGCTCGACTGAGGGACCTTACAGATAATTGTTTGTGTGGGGTACAGAGATGAGGTAGTCATTAAAAAATCATCTTAAACACTATTATTGCACACTGTGCACCATTCCACTTATCTAGGCTTGCCATAACAAAGGGGTTGAATACTTATTGACTCAAGACGTTTAATCTTTTCACTTGTAATTAATTTGTAAAAATTACAAAAAACATAATTCCACTTTGACATTAAAAGGTATTGTGTGTGTGTGTGACAAAAAAATTCAATTTAATACATTTTAAATTCAGGCTGTAAGACAACAAAATGTGAAAAAAGGTCAAGGGTGGTGGATACTTTCTGAAGGCACTGTATGAGGCGTCTCAGAGTAGTAGTGGTGATCTAGGATCAGTTTGGTATTTTAGATCACAATGAATAAGATTACATGGACAAGGGGTACCTGATTCTGTATCAGCACTCCTACACTGAGACGATTGATACATACGGCACTAAACTCAAACCCGGGTTTCCATAAGAAATGTGATATTGATTTAAAAATTAATTCATAAAGATCATTAAATTTAATAAGGAACCACCTAATGTCTGACTATATCCATACTGTTGTACATACAGAATGGGTTTGTAGTTTGTGTAGGGTCAGTTTAAAGCTATATACAACGTTTATCTGAGCAGAGAGAGAAGTCTTACTGCTGCTCTGTCTTAACCTCCAATGAACTATTCATACCACTCCAAATTGACCACATGACTGTTTTCCAGCTTTCATTTTGCTTTGCGATTAGTACGTTCATATCTCCAGCGTGAATTCCATCACCTGTTGAAGATGCAGACTAAAAAAAAAGATCATGTTTGGTGACCTTTTGGAAAATAATGGTAACTCTGTGGAAAACAATATATTATATACTTAGAATATAAACACAGACTTGTCCGGGGGGAGCACTTCTATTGGGCAGTCATTTCTGTGAGGGACCAGTAGAGGGAAATCTACCCCTAATTAGAAGTGAGGAGCCAGTGGGAGCTGTCTTTAGACTGGCCTTTTTTGAAAGGCCCTGTCAATGGAAAGTAAGGTAATGAGTGGAGGGTTTGTTTCTGCGCTGGGGTTCATGAATGGATAAGCACTTCTTTTGAGCCCTGGGGCTCCATAGTGGTTGTCCGCAATTACGTCCATCTATGCCAAGAACACACTTCACAATTATATGCAATTAGGGAATTGTATGTTTCTGTGAAGGACTAGGGCAAATTATCCTAGCCTCTAATTTGGCATCTTTCATATGGGATAATTGCTGATGACCAAAGGAGCGTGCACTTTTCTCTGACAGCAAATATCCATTTCTAACTAATGGCTTTCAGAGACCAAACAAGTGCATTGGAAAAATGGCTTGGTTGTATCCATATGTGCAGGATGGATGTAACAGCTGGCTGATCTTGTCGTGAGCTTTTTTGGTAAACATGAAACATTTTCATTAAAGCAGAGCTTTTATGTTCTAGAGACCATTATACTTTTTAAAGCATTATCTGTATGTGAAATTTAGGCTACCATATTTACCATGTAATGACTTGTTTTCAATATAAAGCAGACTATCTGCACTAACCCTATCTTGCACTGACTCTATGCACACTCACAAGACTATATATACACTCACTCACATACTCTGTTCTTTATTTTACTCTTATTATTATATATCCTGATGCCTAGTCACTTTACCCAGCCTTCATGTACATATCTACCTCAAATACCTCATACCCCTGCAAATTGATCTGGTACTGGTACTCCCTGTATATAGCTCCATTCTTGTGTATTTTATTGTTACTATTTTTATTTTTAGTATTATTTTTTAACTCTGCATCATTGGGAAGGGCTCGTAAGCAAGCATTTCACGGTTAGGTCTACACCCGTTGTATTCGGCGTATGTGACAAATAAAATGTGATTTGATTTGACATGTGGCAATGAACCTCATGCACATCTGGTATCACTTAGGGGCATATTTGAAGTGTTTATGAAAGGATTTAGTAGTTGCTACATCAGAAAATTTAATATAGCATGTGTATTATATTAAATTAGAGAATACTGTATACACTTGGATATAAATTCCTATTTAACAATTTCACAAGTGCATTATTCCCTTCAGATATTTCAATTATATAATGCTACACAAGGCCTGGAAATATTGATAGCCCAATAGCAAGTACATAAGCATTTTCTTTCTGACCAAATGTTAGCCCATAAGGGCAATTGAGGTATTCGGTTAACACTGGGAAATAGTTTCCTTCTGGGTTGTTAGGTTGAGCACAAAATGTCCTATTTCAATATGCACACGTGAACCACATTTTCATGAATGTCAACAAACTGCTTGCGGTTCATGTTCCTAAAGCGGTTAAGCTGTTGTTCCAAGCCAACGGCCAGTAGTGTTGAATTGGCATAAGTTAGTATGTCGTGACTGTTTTGTCAAGGCTGTGTTTTCAAAACTGGAACTAAATGCAATGAAACTTTTAAAAGAACTGTGTTGCTCTGCCAACTACAATGCAAATTGAACTTGATCCCCTTAATGCATTTTGCATACAAATTGCACTTATATGAATGACTGCTTCTAATACCTCAAAACAACCAGCAGAACAACAATAATTCCGTTTTTCATTTAGGAGATTCTTTGGACTTCGGCGAACCATTTCAAGGTTGGGATAAATATGAAGTGGATTCTGTGCTTGTAACTTGTCTTTTTAGAGAAAGAAAGAGGTAACACTTTAGTAAAACCCTGTGCAAATAGGCCTAAGCGAAAACTGTATTGTCGTGTTGTGTAAGAACAAATTAATTTCTTAGTGTGCAGATAAGCAGTTAAAACAACCAATTAATACAATTTAATATAAAATCTTTCCACACACAATCATTTTGCCAATCTGACACCTCCATAATATCATGCAAAACAAATTGTGAGTTAGGCTTTATACCAGAGTTTTCACTTTTGAAGCAGACTAAGTTGAAGTTAACACTTCCAAAATGGAGACACTTGGACATGTAACTGTTGACAGGAAGTGATGTCATAGTGTGGTACCTGACGGGAGCTCCTCTGGATTGGGCAGGCTTCAGCAGAACTGTGATGGTGGTGTCTGTCTCGTTCAGAGGGGGCGTGTCTGTCTCGTACTCCGGCATCGATGGGGCTGGTGGGAAAAGATTCAGAGGGGATGAGATCAAGTAAGTGTTCATTAGGGCACGACACAGAAAACTTTTAAAATGTTTTTCCATGAATTACTAATATGATTGAGTCTGTTTTTGTTACTTTTGTTGCTTAATGAACACAACCCTGTTGAATTCCTATATTTAAAACAAACTTGGTCCCCTGACATCATGACAATAGTGGATTTAGCCCTGTGATTGCTGAAGCTAATCCACAATGGAGTATGGCATACAGTAACAGTAAATATACCATCTCCATCTATGGAATACGCTTAAGTCAATGTTGTCCATGAAGCCATTGCTAAAGATTGACCTTTTTAAAGATGTACCCTAACAGAAGCGTGTTGGTGTGAAAACCTTGCCCTATACACGTCACGATAGTGCCATCTCTTTCAAATGTCACGTCTTCATTATCTCCAAAACATTAATCAGACAACCTTGATTAGATAAATCAAGGCTGGAATTAGATATGCCAATTCGTTCAGGGATTCAAAGAGAGAGGCGTTGATGCTCCAGGCCATCAAGGCTCTAGTCTGTTGCATGACTGACAACTAAGACAGGGAATGTTTACTTTCAGAGATAAGAAGACAAATCCTTCATGCTTGTGTTACACCATTTCTATCTATGAATGTCAGGAATGACGTGGTTCAAATGAATGGTGGACAATGATGAACAATTGCTCACTGTTTGATTGCTACATTCTGTCGAAAGTCGTGGTCAAAAGTTTTGATAATGACACAAATACTAATTTTCACAAAGTCTTCTGCTTCAGTTTTGATGATGGTAATTTGCATATACTCCAGAATGTCACGAAGAGTGATCAGATGAATTGCAATTAATTGCAAAGTCCCCCTTTGCCATGAAAATCCCCCAAAAACATTTCCACTGCATTTCAGCCCTGCCACAAAAGGACCAGCTGCCATCATGTCAATGATTCTCTTGTTAACACAGGTGAGAGTGTTGACGAGGACAAGGCTGGAGATCACTCTGTCATGCTGATTGAGTTAGAACAACAGACTGGAAGCTTTAAAAGGAAGGTGGTGCTTGAAATCATTGTTCTTCCTCTGTTAACCATGGTTACCTGCAAGGAAACATGTGCCGTCATCATTGCTTTGCACAAAAAGGGCTTCACAGGCAAGGATATTGCTGCTAGTAAGATTGCACCTAAATCAGCCATTTATCGGATCATCAAGAACTTCAAGGAGAGAGTTGTCATTTCAGTGATATTTTGACCGTCAGCAACAGCATTAAATTGATGTGTTAATAACGTGCCAATCTTCATCCCCAACTTTGTTTGACCTCAGCATATGTACAGTATGTAGATTTTATTCTACTCTAGCTTAATTTCCACTGTGAGTCTCATACAACTTCATGAATCATTCCCAGCATGTAATCCCTATGTACACATTTGAAGGGTCACTGTTTTACTGAGAAGGTGTGTCCATAAAAAAATAAAAAAAGAATTTAAGAATGAAGAATAATACACTGGCCTTACTAGTCTTAGTCATGTGTTCGCGCCTTGTTCTGAAAGGTATTTTTAGAAAACAGAGCATTTCACGGTGTCTATTTTTTACTTTCATAAAACATACAAAAGAAAAAAGGAAAAAGGAGAAAAAAACTGCTGCTATGGTAACATAATTTCTGTCATAGTGCTTGTAGTTGTATGTATGTGCATTTCTGACACCAACGAAACACCACTATTAAGACTATCTGCTCTGAACAAGTCTTACTCACCTGCTATCTTCGTGGCGATGCGGGTGGTAACAGGGGGTCCAAAACCTTTGTTGGTGCTGGCTTTGAGGGTGAAGAAGTAGGTGGTGCCAGGGTAAAGCCCCACAAACAGGTGGTGGGTCTCGTTGCGTAGCTTGAACACCCTGCCGCGCTGGGTGGTCAGGTCTGCACTGGGGTCCAAGGAGCTCAGAGCCTTATAGGTGATCTGTAAGAGCAGAGAGAAAAAAGTAACACTATATCATATGAACAAAATGTATTTAAATTACATTCTATCATGCAGTATAGTGCATTATAAAACTTCCTATAAGTGCTGATAACAGATCATAGCTATAATAGCCTTCAAAGGCATTAAACACAGTTGGTTTATAGACTGTTTTACACAGGGGCGCTACTTTCACTGGGGACATGTCCCCTCCATATTCTAAAATTGCATTTTTGTCCCCCCCAGTATCACATATCATTGGAATGTGATACAAAACGAGACTGGATAAAGAAGCTAGGCATATGTTGCACATCACTACTTCAAAGGAGAGGCATTTTATCTTATTATTTATATTTTTTAGTGTTTTTTGGCAGAAATGCCTTCTGGAACATGTGAACTTTCATGTGCCTTAATAACAAACTTGTATGACATCTGTAAATACTAATAAAATGGTTAAATTACGAGCATAGTTGGTTTAGCCACGGAAAAAGACAGGAATCTTCCCGCTAGCCATGATTGGCTGAGATAATGGATGGGCTGGACATGCCGAGAGATGAGTTCGGATTGGTCTGCCATGTAGCACGCTTCTGTCTATAACATGAGCTGCTCAGTATGTGTAGATAATCCTTGCTTCCGCAGCTTTTTTGAAATATATAATGTTAGCCATGAAGAACTACAAAAGTGTTGCTACTGCACTCAACAACATTGCTGCCCTGAAATTAGCTGGCGCTATTGACAATCATTAGTGGGAAAAAGTTGTGATGGACTACTTTATGCACCTGGTCAGTGTGAATCGAAATGACTTGACACAACGCTGGCCAAACATGCTGTAGCTACAAACAATGGAAAAGACACGCTGCCGTGAAGCATTCATCCATGTATACGGGTAAGTGTCTAGCTAAATTTTCAGATATTATACATTTCTAATTTTGTCATTAAGTCATTTTCATTGCAAGTTATAGCATACTGTTAGCTAGCTAGCGAACGTTAGCTTGCTGGCTCGCTAGCTAACGTTATGTGTATGATTTGTGTAGTACTATTATTCATATCTCAGAAAACAATTTGCATTGCTAGTTATAGCCTAATGTTAGCTAGCTAGCTAACATTGAACCTAGTTGGTTAGCTTTAGACACCTGCAGATTCATACTATAGCATTTCATGCATGGTGGCTAGTTATGACAATCCGTTTGTACTGTAAATATGTGTTGGGATTATGGTTAATTGTTTAGCCACATCACATTTAGACAAGTGTGTCTGGGTAAGCATCATCTAATAATTATAAGGTATTTATTTAATATTTTTATCTGGACACGTTCTATATTTGTAAAAAACACAATTTCAGATTTTGCTACATTAGACCAAATCGAGGTGGTCGGTCACAAATGTGGGCCTGCAAGCTTCTTTTTCCAGTGCGTTCTGATACACCATCATTCAGGATGACCGACATTTCAAACAGTAAAAAAAGAAAGGTAGAACAGAATTGCAGGGTAGAAAGGTAAACATATAACACATTGATGTTGTCACACCCTGATCTGTTTCACCTGTCTTTGTGATTGTCTCTACCCTCCTCCGGGTGTCGCCCATCTTCCACATTATCCCCAGTGTATTTATACCTGTGTTCTCTGTTTGTCTGTTGCCAGTTCGTTTTGTTTCGTCAAGCCTACCAGTGTTTTTCACCTTGCTCGTGTCTTTTTCAAGTTCCTGTTTTCTAGTTTTCCCGGTTTTGACCATTCTGCCTGCCCTGACCCTGAGCCTGCCTGCCGTTCTGTACCTTGTCACACCACCCTGGATTATTGACCTCTGCCTGCCCTGACCCTGAGACTGCCTGACGTTCTGTACCTTTTGGACTCTGATCTGGATTACTGACCTCTGCCTGCCCTTGACCTGTCGTTTGCCTGCCCCCTGTTTTTGTAATAAACTTTTGTTACTTCGACACTGTCTGCATCTGGGTCTTCTCCTGAAACTTGATAGATGTGTGGGTTGTAAACACGGTGGTTGCCTAATTGGTATCAATCCCCAACATATTATGTGATTTAAGGAATTATTTCTATCAACAGCACACAATATTATCATTTTCGGGCATATGCATTGTTTTGCAATAGTGAAGAAGAATAGAATGGCAATGTCAGTTACATTGGTCCTACCAGTGATTTTCCGTCTCCATTTGAATTAGCTCCACAATGCTGTGTGCCACGGCAAAGAAATATTGGCTATGCATTACAACATAAATATTGACCGCGTCAAAACAATTCAGGCGGCACTTCCATAACCACCAACATCCAAACACATGGCCTGAATTTTAATTTTTTTTACCGGTGGAGATTGATGTTTGTGTAAATTGAGGTCTACAGGGTTGTGTGTAATAAAAACATTTTAGACTGATGTGTCACAGATCACAACTCCATTAGATAATTCAAATCAAACCAATTGACAGCTCAGTGCCTGCTGGTAGCTAGGCCAGTCGCTGATTGAAAGGCTTTCATGGTAAGTGCTAGATCCGGCGTTGCCCCGAGACCGTGCTGCACTGACCACAGGCAAAGAAGCAGTTGGGGCAAGACAAGCAAAATTTTTTGCATGAAGCAAAAAACAGAAAAGACAAGAAAAAGAAGGATAAAAGGAGTGTGTGTGTGTGTGTGGGGGGGTGTCATCCTGAGTTGTGTCCTAGATAAGCCTTTTTGAAACCTGTCATTGTGGACCTCCAGAAAATGCTGGACCTAAATTATGTAATATGAATATGGGTCTGGAGCCGTATAGACTTTGGGTGTGTGATTGGTGGGTCCTTGGCTGTGCGAGACAGTGGGCTAGGGTGAGTCAGACTTCAGCAGCTGTCAGACATCGGGGGGGGGGGGGGGGGTGGGGGGGGGGGGGGTTAAAGGCTGCTGGCTAATCTAGACTGATTAGCATAAATCCTCATCAAGCCACTAATGGCTTGCAGGACTTCAGAGGTCGATAAAGAGTCGTAAAGGAGCTGAAACTTAAACAAATGGAGCTTTCCTGTAGACATGGTTTCCTAATTCCTTTACTAGCTATAATTCATGCAATAAAGTTTGGTTTAACTGGTTCACAACAATTGTGTTCACCAATTGTTTAAGCATTTATCTTTTCAAGGTATCCGTTTGAGTTGACAAGCATCCAATATTCAATCCATGGCAACAATAAATATTTCCTTGTTGTTGTGCTTCAATAGACTGTCCCCATTGCCATCAAAGTTCTATCTGCTGCCACCAGTCCTTAAATTGGATACAAAAGTCAGTGAAAAAGTTATACTTGTGATATATTTATAGTGGAATTTCAGTTCTGCAGGCAGCAACACAACACATTAACTCAGAGAGTCCTACTGCCGTCGGCACCTTTTCATTTTATACCAGCCAGGGCTGCAGTGAGACTGCGTTGCTCATAATAAAATACCTGAAATCAATATTTATTCATGGATTCTTACTCACACTTGTTAAATATTATCCCAAAAATATTTTTGGGCTTTCGTTTGGGTGTGAATGCGTATTCCTCTGGCGTTCCTTCTCCTTGGTTGATATACTCAGCAGGGAAGCGTCATAAAGAAGAGGTAGTTTACTGCCCTATGAAACAGCAGACGCGCACCGAGGCACTGCACTATGGGTAATGGAGAGACTACATCTGTGGAATAACTCGTAGCCGAGACGAGAGATGGATGCCTTTTAATAAGGACGCTGTACCAAACAGCAGCACACATAAATAAAGCAAAGGACACAGGGCAATGTGTCTTTTGGTTTAAGGGGAGAGTTCGGGGAAAGTTGCAGTTACTGCTGTTGTTTGAAGTTTGAGTTTTCAATTGGTTCATAGTTCGTTACTCAACTTGAACTTTTGTTAGGGACAAGTTTGGTCTGAATAAAACATCTATATAATACAGTATGCCCTTCAAATTGAAATGGGCCAACCAAATATATATTTTTCCATTGTTGTATTACAAATAAGCACATTCAAGAATAGGATGGCGGCTTCAGTTGTTGGGACAATAATATATCTGCTTCAAAACCCCCGCAATCTATGAAAAATCTACAGCAACAATGGCCTCAATCGCTATATCAATCTATAAATGTTTCCACCTCAGGGACAAAGGAGAGGACAGTTTCAAAAGCTACAAGGCAATCAATGGTCTTCCATTATCCATTTCTATCCATTCAGTTATCTTGTATAGGAAGGCTTTTCAGTGTCACAGCAGATACAAATCAAGGGGGGCTACAATGTGGGGAGGAAATGATAGGTCTCTATAATATACAAATAATAAAATATGTCATTTAGAAGACACATTTATCCAGAGTGACTCACAATACGTGAGGGCATACATTTTTAGGATGTGTATGCGATCCCTGCAGGAATTGAACCTGCAACCTTGGCGTTACCAGCACCACGGTCTAACCAACCACGCAGAACCACATTCTCTGCCTGGGCACGTTATCGGTGGAGTTGGGGTTGGCTGCCTGGCTGCAGCAGGGACAGGCGACACGGCTGCTATATGGCTTCCAGCTCGGGGCAAGGTTGCAAATCCACTCCTCTCAGGCCATTAACGAACAGTTAAAAGGCAGGCCTGTAATTGAGTGGAGCGAGTGTAAAGCTGCTCCGCTTGTCCATCCATCTCTCTGTTGTCCCTGGGAATCAGGGACAAATGGGGTGCCGTTTGTAACATGCTATATGTTGTGAAACAGATGAATTACGTGGCACAAAATGTTTACATTTTGTAGCACGGAATTCATCTGTTACATAACATATAGCATGTTACAAACGACACCCCATATGGACAGAAGGAATGTGGGGTTGACTGGACTGCTGGATTCAAGCTCCAAAATCTTACAGAAGAGATTAGGATGTAACAGTGGTCCTTACAGGATTGGCTAGGGAAGCTGGGACACATTTACAGTACTGTGCGTCTAGGGAAAGATGCAAAGGGAGGGAACATATTGATGCCAGATGACTGTCACAAAGTGATGCGAGACGACAAAGGAAGATTCTATGTGGATTTTGGACAC